AGCCACCAACACCCCCACGAGCAGGAAGTGGCATTTCTGGCACTTCTTCAAGGTGATGCAATGCGAGTGGAATTTCACAGGACAAAGATGAGATGTTTTTCACAGCCTCAGAGGCTTTCCAGTCCACACACTGGGGACTTGCTGCAAACATTTCTTCAAGAACTCCCAGTGTCAATACAGGCTGGGGGATGAAGGGATTGAGAGCAGCCCTGCAGACAAGGACTTGGGGGTACTGGTGGATGAAAAGCTGGATGTGAGCCGACAGTGTGTGCTTGCAGCCCAGAAGGTCAACCATAGCCTGGGCCTCATCAAAAGCAGCGTGGCCAGCAGGTTGAGGGAGGGGATTCTGCCCCTCTACTCTGTGCTGGTGAGACCTCACCTGGAGTATTGCATCCAGCTCTAGGGCCCTCAGTATAGGAAAGACGTGGAACTGTTGGAGCGGGTCCAGAGAGGAGCTATAAAAATGATCCAAGGGCTGGAGCACCTCTCCTATGAGGACAGGCTGAGAGAGTTGGGGTTGTTCAGCCTGGAGAAGAGAAGGCTCCGCACAGACCTTATTGTGGCCTTTCAGTACTTAAAGGGGGCTTATAAGAAAGATGGGGACAGACATTTTAGTAGGGCCTGAAGCAATAGGACAAGGGGTAATGGTTTTAAACTGAAAGAGGGTAGATTCAGACTAGATATAAGGAAGACATTTTTTATGATGAGGGTGGTGAAACACTGGAACAGGTTGCCCAGAGAGGTGGTAGATGCCCCATCCCTGGAGACATTTAACGTCAGGTTGGACGGGGCTCTGAGCAACCTGCTCTAGTTGAAGATGTCCCTGCTCACTGCAGAGGTGTTGGCCTAGATGACCTCTAAAGGTCCCTTCCAATCCAAACCATGGGGGGGAAAAAAAAAATCCTGCAGCAGTCTGAGGAGGAGAGCGTTAGGTGGCCTATAGTGGGGTTGCCACCACGCTACCAGCTCCATCAGAAAATCAACACATTGCATTTTGACTAAAAATAACATCTTTGTGGGCAGTATCTGCCCTTTGGCAAGTGCAGAGCAGGTCTGTCTCATCAGGACTGTTGTCATCCTCCTCTTGCAGGCACAAAAGGGTTGCAGGCACTTCTGTGGCAGGACTAAAGGGGCAGGTGAGTCCCCTTGTCACCTGGAGCATCGCACTACAGATAGCGCATCTGTAACACTCATCAGACTCCTCCTCCCTGCCTCACCACAGGTCATGCCATTCAGAAAGGTTACTGAGCCAGGCTCTGTGTGGTGGCTCATTCATTTGGCTGCCATTAGCCTTCTGGGAACAGAGAGATGTTTTTACTGAAAAGTGCGCAAGCTCGGTAAATGTCAGTGCTGCCCTCCCCATTGGTCTCCTTTGATCAGAAAAGTAAATTTATGCTTGTGAGAGAAATGAGACTCAGCAGGCTGCCCCCAGTCTACCTCTCTGCCTTTAAAATGCTGTTGAAAATACTCTCATCGAAGGTGTTTCCCACTTGTGTGGCATAATTATGCGTTGTGTTCCTTTATGACCAAAATCTTTGATCCTGACAGAATTCAGTCTTTAGTTTAACACAGTTTTAATTGTTTGGCTCATTTTTATCTCTGCAGTCCTTTGAGTCCTACCTCCACTGTGAGAAAACATGCTGACTAAACGCATTTAGTTATCTTACAGATTCCCTTAAGGCTCAAAATCCTTGCAGTTGAGCTCGGGTCTCAGATAAACCCTCTACAGGGTGAGAGTTAATGTGGCGTCAGGGGTTGTCCATGCACCGGGGACTTGGCAGCGCAGTGGAGATGCCCTGCCTGTTGTTGTCTCCTACAGCAAAGCACAATAGTTTATTGGGGCAGTCGTGGTGTGCCACGGCATAGCCAGAACTACTCGATGAAAGGTTGGACTACAGTTTCTTGTGCTGTTATAAATGGGTTTTGCTGGCAATGTGCTATGTCCTCCAAGCCCTGATGACTTGCTTTGGTGGCTTTGTCTGATCTTAGTTGTTATTAATGATAAAAGAAGGTTTGAACAAGTTATCTTCTCTGTTTGTCCAACTCCTTGAAGGCGGTGGCCTTACAATTAGAAATCCTGGTATTGTGCAGTGCTCCTGGGGCTGCACAGATTTCTCTTTATTCAAACAGGCTTCTGCCCAGTGCAAGGAAGTTGGCAAAACAAGACAGGATGCTCTTCCTGGGATCATCTTGTAAAAGAATGCATAAATCACTTGTAAACAAGTCCTCAAAGGAATAGTATCGATTTGAGGTAAAGGCTTGTGAATGGTAATAAATAGCCATGTAATGGTCACATAGATGGCTTTCAATGTTATTTTAAGTTAATGCAAACAGAGGTTTCAGCTGTTAGGTCTGCACTCCAAAAGAATAGACCTTGATCCAATAATATGTGCACAGCAGCCTGCTTGTTCATGCGTCTTTGCTACCCTGCAGTGATGGTCGCTGCCAGCAAGTTTTTCTTGCATCTAAAGGGGGGGAAATCTTAATGAAGATTTCTGTGTCTGTTAAGTGAACAATGTTTTCGTATCACAGTTAGAAGTATTTGTAAGGGAATGTATTTGGACTCAAAAATGTGAAGTCTGAAACTTAGGGCATTTAAAAGATGGTAGCTAAACCCAAACACAGAAAACAAAAATCCCAAATGCTTAGGGTGTCTGGAAATTCCTCACTTACAGCTCTCGAACCAGGCAAGGTCTCTTCAGAGCTCAGGATATTGTTTGCAGGACTTTCATGAGCCTGAGCATTTCCAAGTACCTGCTCTGCAGGTCTTTCAAGAGCATTGGTAATGTTGAAAGCTTACTTCAAAAGGCAAAAATCTCAAAGGTTTTTTTATGTGGCTCTTGGTTTCACTTTTTTCCCCCATAGCCACTAATTTTTCATAGGCCATAGCGGAGCCATCCCCCTTCCTGTTAGTCTTATTAGTGGAGTCCGGCTAGGAGTCCTCAATTTGCTTTTGAAACTTTAAGCTTGGAAGAAACCACTCTAAAGCAAGGCTTGGCACATGTACAGATGAGCCAAAAAGCATCAGCTTTTTTCCAGGAGCAAGATTCCAGCTGGAACTCAGCATCTCCATGAACTTGCAGGGCAGCAAAAGGGAACAACGTACCGAAAGGCTCTTGCAGATTGAGGTGCTTGGGGGTGAGGCTGAAGCTGGGAACCCTCAGGGCATCTTCTGTAGTAGACAGCACCTTCCTGGATTATTGCTTTGTGATTTTTTTTTTTTTTTTTTTTTTTTTTCTGCAAGTCAGGAGCAATTGAGTGAAACACTGTCCCTCCCCAGGGTGCCTGCATCGCACGTGCTGGCAGGGCCGTGCTGCAGCCAGCGACAGCGGGTGCAGCCCGTGGGCTGCATTCTCGTGCAGGAGGGGTTCAGGTGGCACCACACTCCATGTGCCACCCCGCTGCCTCCCCTCTCTGCTGTGCCCTAGTTCCTGCCGCCACGTGTTGGGATGCTGTGAGAGGGAGAGGTGCCTCAGCTTCACTGTGTTTCTGCACGGTTCTGGGGTGTGGAATTGTTTCCAAATCTCAGCTCCTGCTAGTTTGGTGGGGTTTTTTAAGTGTTATTCATTAGGCTTCAGGTTGCAAAGTGGTTAAATAGAGAACAACCTGTGCCACCCCAGGCGGTGGGCAGCTGCCCCTTTCATTGCAAGGGCTTGTTAATGACAAAATCTAGTGCTGCTGAATTAGATACAGGTAAGGTACTTAACTGCAGGATGATGTTCGTATCTCATACAGAGCTGGAAGTCCGGCTATCCATCTGCCACAGTCTCTGGTTCTCCCTGGATAACTTCAATATAAAATTCTTCAATTCACTGGGCATCTACAGTGAAGGAAGAAATTGGCAATCCATGTGACATTAAACCCTGCTCAGGATATTTACAGACTTTAGTATAAAACTGAAGTATTCCTATATAGAAAACCTGTAGGTTAGGAATATCCCTCCTGTCTCTTCATCAGTTAGAAACTTGCTGGTAATTATTTACGTGTAAAGAGAAAAGGTGCTGAAAACAGACTGCAGGCATAAGAGGCTGTTGTTGGGAGCTCCAGCTTCGCTCATCTTGGTCTAATTCTAGTTAGCTACTCAGCATAGCTCTGCTAGGGCTGTAAAGTCCCAAAGAAACGTGGAGGTAGCAGGAGGGTCACAAAGAAGGACTGGGCCGTGGTCGCTCAGAGGCCGTGAAAAAGCAGAGAGGTGCAAGACCAGGGAGCAGAGACTTTGGTACAAGTAAGGATGGCAACCAGGCACAGCCAGGCTCCCTCCTGACTCAGTATACTGCCTCGACTTTTTCAGAAGGGCTCTGACTCTTAACCAGCCTGAAAACAAATAAACATAATCCTGGCACTTCCATCACCCATGCTAGAAAGCTAGACCATGCCATGGTGACTAACCAGTGCAGTGCAAAAATCTGTTTTGTAGGGCAGCTTTATTTAACTTCTGAAAAAATAAGGTCAGAAATTTAGGCCAATTAGTGTGAGCAAAGCTCAGCAGGTTCACATCTCCCTTATGCAGCCAGATCTCTAATTACTATCTGCATATTTTAAACACTTTATACAGTCCTTTGAAATACGATTTTTCTCTGACTAGAATCTTGTAAGCTGTTTCTCAGAATTTTTAGCATTTGAGAGCTGTGTGTGTTTTCTGTCTTAATTTGTAATTCTCTCCCCACCTCATCTATAATAAAATATTTGAGTAAATTTTCCCATGTATTTACAATTGCAGTTTAATTCCAGGTTGTAAGTTCAGTAAGTTGCCAGGGTTACAAAACTGTAATGAGCTCTTTAATTATATAGATTAAGCACCAAATTTTAGGTATGTCTTTCGTGGGTATGCAGTTTATTACATTTGTAGATCTGCTATGTCTAAGGCATGTGTTTTATTGTCAGCCGAGCGTACACCTGTTAAATTGAAGCAGGACTTGCCGTTTTGGAGATACTACTGATTCTACTGCCTTAATTCATTTTGCTTGTTTCTTATGTGTTAATTTACTTTGTTTACACAGGGACTTTGCTTATGTGGCCAGAGACAAAGACACAAGAATTCTGAAATGTCATGTGTTTCGATGTGACACACCCGCAAAAGCCATCGCCACAAGTTTACACGAAATCTGCTCAAAGGCAAGTGGATTTGAAGTCAGCTGCATTTGTCTGTTTACACAGAATCACAGAATGGCAAGGTTTGGAAAGGACCTCAGGAGATCATCCAGTCTAACCCCCCTGCTAAAGCAGGCTCACCCAGAGCAGGTTACACAGGACTTCGTCCAGGCGGGCTTTGAATATCTCCAGAGAAGGAGACTCCACAACCCCCCTGGGCAGCCTGTTCCAGTGCTCTGTCACTCTCAAAGTAAAGAAGTTTTTCCTCATATTCAACTGAAACCTCTTATGCTTCAGTTTGTGCCCATTGCCCTTTGTCCTGTCGCTGGGCACCACTGCAAAGAGTCCGGCTCCATCCTCATGACAGCCACCCTTAAGATATTTGTATGTGCTGATGAGGTCCCCTCTCAGTCTTCTCTTCTTCAGAGGTCCTCAAGCCTGATACATACAATCAGCAATTGTACACAGTGTTAGTTTAGTTTATATCACGGGCGACGAGAAACACTGTAGAGAATTTGAAAGGAAAGGACACGAATGGATGGGAGTAATGGGAAGGTGAGCATTTAGATTTGAGGAGGATGATACGTGCTTATGATGTGACAAGTGTGTATGGAGACTGAAGGTTTTCTTGCATAATGAAGAAGCTGCGGGTTCAAAATGGGAAAAGAACACACAGCTTCAATTAATAATAAATGGTGATGTTAAACACCGTAAATAAATCAAACCTTGTTTGAATGGTATTGTTCAATGGTATTGTCTTGCAGGACAGACAGGAAAATAGTTGCTAATGTTACTCTGCCCACTTAAAAAAAAAATCGGGGAGAAGGGGTTTAAGCTACTCTAGTTACAAATACTGAAGGATCTCAGTACCTGCTTGTGGTAGTGTTGTCTGCAATGCTGGAGAGGACTGTTCTTTTCAGTTGCTTTACTTTACAGATTTGCCACCATTCCCTGGTTATTAATTTTGGTTTTCTTGCATGATCAGTTCATGAGTGTCCTCTGTACGGTCATTTCATGCAGCAGAAGCAAGGCAGCACATCCTTTACAGCAGGCAAATCTGATTGTAACGCTTTACAGCGAGGCAGTTAAACCCATCGACTTGAAACTGGGTTTTATTCTTTTAGTGAGCTGTGGTGGATTTGAGGCTGCATCCCCCCTTTTTAAAAATCATTATGCTGCTCATTTTGGTTTTCCTTAAAAAGTGCCGGTTTGTACCACAGGAAAAGTGGGTTCTCCCTGCGTAACTTGTCCCTCCTCGCGAGTCACAGCTCTTCTAGAAAAGCTAGTTAGGAAACCTTCAGGTTTTAATATTCTGCTGATTTACTGTATGCCTGTCATTTGCTTTTTACATTTTGTCTTTACTTTAGCAAATGGAATGAGTGATGCCAAATTCCTCTCTGTAGCCAGTTGTGTAGTCTTAAAAATTTTTCATTTTTGCAGTGCTGGAGATGTGGCTGCTGAGCTTGTGATGTTTCATGCAAACAGCGTGAGCGTTTACCCAGTGTGTGTTACTGTCACCTGCAGGGCAGCAGAGTTTTGCCCGAGGCAGAGGCAGAAGTTAGCCCAGCGACTGCGCAAAGCCCGGCAGGTCGGTGGCAAGGTGCCTGAGGAATGCAGGTGGCTGGGCTCCAAGAGCTGCTCAGGTTGGCCAGGGAGCTGCAGGCTGTGCTTGGTGAAGTTTAACACTGGGGACTGGAGCAGTGGCTGACTGGAGAAGCCTAGACTGGTTATGTCCCTCCTCTTTCTCCTCCACCTCTCACTTCTCACAGATGTTTCTGGCAAGTCTAGCAGGGAAAAACATGCTACTCAGGCCCTACCACAGCTGCTTTCGGCCAGCAAGATCAACAGCAAGTAAATGCCACAGTAGCTATACACAGGGGTATCGGAAAGGGAGCTGAGCTGTCTCATATGTAACTATGACATGAAACTCCTGGCATTTATTTTGGATAAGAGAGCAACTAAGCATTTAAAACCATAGCTAATAGTAACACAGAATAAAAAACGTTAAGTAGAGCCTGTTCCTTTGGAATTCAGCAGCAAATGTAATCCTGATTCAGGGAAGTACTGGGCATGTACTGACAGACACACTGCACCTCTTTGCTGAGCCCGGGCTTCTTCCTAAGCTAGCATGTATCATTTTTCATCTGCAGGAGAGAATATTATCATGTGCCCTGTAACAGAAAATATTTTCAAAATATAGAACCTAAAAAAAAAAAAGAGAGAAATTTGCTATAAGCATCTTCAGACCAAGTGTCGTCTCCTGGAACGCCAGTTACCTTTATAGCTTAACTACAATTAACAGCTATAGTGTGAAGAAGCAGTGCTTCATATATGAGCTTTGGAAAACCTCTGTTAGCTTCCCGGGGTCCCCTCTCAGTCGTATATTTGTAGGGAATAATCATCCAGAGTGGTTATTTTGAAGCGTTTTGTTTTTTTTTTTTTCCTCTTTTGATAATATTATACATTTTGGGTGAAGAATAGGTTGTCTTTTGCATGGGATTTTTAATTTCAGAAGAACCATAAACATGGAGGAAAAAATTATACACAGGAGAAGATGGATCAGACAGGAACATGAATAATGAACACTCCTCTCTCTGTGTTAAATATTTATATTTCCTGCTGTATTACTCTTCACTGCAATTTTGCTGTTGATAAAAATGGCTGGAGGTTTTTTTTCCTCCTCCGTCTATCTTTCATCTAGGATTGGGCACCACTTAAGTTCTTTATGTAGTTAAGGAATGGTGAATAAACTGGAGGAAAATTAAAGTTGCTATTTTAAAAGAATAACCCATTTAGTCATGTAGCTTCTGACTCATTTCAGATTTCAGAAACCGGGGTTGTAAAAGGCGTACATTTAAACTTGTAGTTGCTACTGTACTATATATAAAAAAAAATTAAAATGCTGTATTATCACTATCTTCCTCAGATTATGGCCGAACGGAAGAATGCTAAAGCTATGGCTTGCAGCTCATTGCAAGAGAGGGCAAATGTCAGCCTCGATGTTCCTCTGCAAGGTACTGTGTGTTACAGCTGGTATCCTTGGGACGGTCCTGGTTTGGATAGGTTTTGTTTCTGATGCTGCATGTTGGGTGGAGAGGTCAGGAGGGTAAAACTGTCTTTTATTTACTGTATACGACTGTAACCTGTTACTGTATTGCATTAAACATTTTTATTGGTTACATTGACAGTAACAGAGTCCTGCTCAGTTATGTCAACTTGTGCATTTCCTCTTTCATTTTGAAATACAAATGTTGCAAGCGCAGTCTTACTTATTTGTGGTACTTGCATGTATTCTCCTTTTCAAATCAAAATACCTTCTGGCTTGACACTGCAGAAATTGGCCAAATCCTCCTTAAAACCGGAGTATACTCCAGTTAATCACTTGGTTTCAGCATCTATTGTAGGAGCTTCCAAGGCAAGGGGTGCAAGTGGGTTTTCATCCAGTGTAAGGGTCTTCTGCACACTCTACTGCATGGTAGAAGAAAGTTGCCTCTGCGGGCCTTTATTAGTCCCAGCTTAACAGTGGCTATTTTGAAAGCATTCCAGGAGAACAAGCATACTTTGTGTTAGCTTGACAGGAAGTCATATGCTTCTGGATCCACCAGTTTATACTGAGTATCTTACTCCTAATCCATACATCAACTTGTGTAATTGTCTGCTCAGACAGTAGTATTGATCACTCGTAGACTGGGTTTAACATATTGGCAGAGATTCCAGATTTTACATAATTACACAGTGAAACTTAGGGCTGTATGTCTCAGAGACACATTCATTCTACATCTTCTATTTTGTAATAGGCCAGCAGTATAACGTGGCCTTATTCTTAGCATAGATCAAGAATTAGGTGATGCAAAGTTATCCCTAAATCCTTTAGAAATTACTGAAGGAGTAAAAATTTGTTTAAATCGATACAGTACCTTCAGAGTACAATTACTGGGTAAACTGTTTTATGTTATTGACGAAATAAAAGTGGTTTTCCCTGCTGTGAATGCTGATTAACAGAAACTGATTTGTGTTCCCATGCAGTAGATTTCCCAACACCAAAGACAGAACTGGTACAGAAGTTCCACGTCCAGTACCTAGGCATGCTGCCTGTAGCTAAACCTGTAGGTATGTAACACCTAACGTGACTTCCAAAGGACCTTGCATGAACCATAAAGGCTGGACTCTGGCTAGCCAGGTGTAAATGCATGATTTTGGAAGGATAGCAACTCTTGTACTTCAGTCACACAGGTCAGGCATGAAGACATCCGATATTCAGGGCCTCAGCTGAACGGGTGGGTGTTCTGCAGCCAGAGTACTTTGGGAGCTGCCAAGGCGGCAGAGTTTCTTTCCACTGCTTTCTCTGAATACGAGCTCTGCTACTAATGAGAAGGGCCCTAGGGAACTGAAATGGTGCAGCAGATAAACAAGATGCTCTCCTGCTTTTTCTAAGCCAGAGGCACCCGGTTTGGTTTTGCAGATGAAGAAAAACCAACCTCACAACCCTTCCTTCCGTCATCAAGTTAATTTTAATTCGGAGTCCAAAACAATCTGATTTCTGTACTACTATGTGAAAATGGTTTTTGTAGTTTTTTACTTATACTCACATACTTACTTTTCGTTATTGCATTTTCTTCTCTTTTAGGAATGGATACTCTGAACAGTGCCATTGAAAGTCTGATGGCTTCCTCTAGCAAAGACGACTGGATGCCGGTTACCATGAATGTTGCTGATGCTACCGTCACAGTCATCAGTGAAAGAGTAAGGCAGATGGCCTTGTCTGAAACGCATTTAACGTAACATGAGTGTTGAAAGCCAGAAACACTAGTAGAAAGAGTTAATTTACGCTAGAATTCATTTGCTTATTTTGCATTTTATTTCTTTCCAGAATCTGCAGAGGCTCTTAACTGCTTGTATCAGCTTCAGCTTTATTTGCCATTCCAAGCATGTTCTCAGAAATAAATTATTACAAGTATTCTTTAGATACTTAAACCAAATTCAGCGTTATTCTTCCTAGGAATTTTGAGCCTAAAATGTTGTAGGTTAAGCCCTAAGTAGCAATCCTAAATTCTAAACTGTATTTACCTTATTAGAATAATAGAATCATAGAATTGTTTAGGTTGGAAAAGACCTTTAAGATCATCAAGTCCAACCATTAACCTTTTAATCATTGTCCTTTTGTAGAGCACTTTCCATAGAGATTAATTGGTGTGGAAGCCAAGATTTTGTGGTTTACATCACTGTCCTTTTGTAGAGCACTTTCCATAGAGATTAATACAATGACTCTTGCCTTTTATAGGTGCTGTTGGTGAGGTGCTAAGCCAATGTCTCTGTAAGATACCAGTGATAGGGGAGCATGTTTTGGAGTCATGACAGCCGTGCTGTTTTGTTTCTTTCTCCCCAAAAAAAAAGCAGCTTTTCAAATGCACAGTATTCTCAGCACTAATGCTCAAAGCCTTGGTCTCCTGGTGATAGCCTGGGAGATCGAGCCCAGCCCTGCGCATGCTGGGCAGATGCAGATAGATGAAAAGGAATTCCACAGTTCCCCGTTTAATCAACTTAAAATTGAAAGTAAAGTGCCACGGAATCTCCCAACAGTAACGATCAATCATTTGATTCACAAGCAGAATGAAGAGGAAATCATGGTGGAGTGTCGTGTGCGGTTCCTGTCCTTCATGGGAGTAGGCAAGGACGTTCACACGTTCGCCTTCATTATGGATACCGGAAACCAGCACTTCGAGTGCCACGTTTTTTGGTGTGAGCCAAATGCAGGCAATGTATCAGAAGCTGTTCAGGCAGCCTGTATGGTAAGTGACCTTCTTCAGAGGCGCCTAGTAGCACTGAGATTTTTCACTGCCTCCGTAAATACTTGTCTTTCCAAATTTGCAATTACATTAATTTCAGGAAGAAAAGATAAGATAAAAATAGGAATTGGGGTTCTGATACACTTAATCGGTTAAAACCCAAACATTTTTAAGTTTGAAATGTCAATTTAGTGAACCATGCCCCTTCAGTCATCTTCCCTCCTAACCTCTGCAACATCTGTGCAAGTTAGAAATCTTTTCTTCCACTGCACAAGTTACCGAACGCTGGAAGAACATTTTGCTCGGAGCCCTGTGGTACAATCCAGTGACAAGGAGGTGAAAATAATCCTTGTTCAAGAACAGCTGAACCCCGAAAACTTAATTTTCAGTTTTCAAAGGGCTGTTGGTATGATTTAGCATCCGTCACATGCTAATGAATGGTTTCTGCCCACAGATTGACAGACCCGAGTCCCATTAACTTCAGCCGGGCTGTTTGTCATGGCCAAAATGGAGGGTTGACTGTATTTAATGAAAAAGTATTAAAAGTGTATTTAAAATGCTCTGTGAAAGCATTGGACATGGTAAGGACTGCAGAATGCTTTTGCTTTGTTGCAGTTACGGTATCAGAAGTGCTTAGTAGCCAGACCTCCTTCACAGAAAGTTCGACCGCCCCCACCTCCCGCAGACTCGGTGACAAGAAGAGTTACAACAAACGTAAAGAGGGGAGTGTTGTCCCTCATTGACACTTTGAAACAGAAACGCCCAGTCACTGAGATGCCGTAGCTGCGTAAGAGAGAAGATTCTCCTCTAACATTTAACTGAAGATAACAGTAGCTGCACCAAGGAAACTGAGCTGACGACGTCTGGCCTTCCATTTCAAATTGCTGATGCTTTGTCTTCAGAGAATTTACCCTTATCGAAACAATGTTAGACAAGCATGTTCTCTCGTTCTTGCCACCATCGTGTGATATGAAAAGAAGCATGAATAATTTTTTTGCTGTCAGTGAGTTACATCATGAGCAATGGAAGGTCTGTTTGATTGTAAATACATGAACATTACCTAAAACTCACACACACAAAAAAAAAAAAAAACAAAAAAAAAAAGAAAGAAAAAAAAAAAAGTATGGCCACGTCCCTCCCAGTGAACTCATGCTAAAGTCCTTGGAGTGAACGATGCCAGAGTTGATAGTGCCACCGTCTTGAGCTGGATTTGTCACAACCCAATCTGAAATCCTACAGCACTTTGCTCTGTTTTCAACACTGGAGTAGGTACCAAGGATTAGCTACCATTGAATTACTGTAGATTAAATACCAAGTTTTATTTTTTACAGAACTACACCTGTTAAGTTTTAAATTGTTTGTCAGCATTGGTCTCACAACCGCTTTAACATCTCCCTGACATGCTTTTGAATCACGGTGTCATTATTTCATCTCCTGGTTGTACGTTGTGGTCTTAGAGAAGAATCGTGTTTAATACCAAACCAATGCTGAAAGATCCAGAAGCGTTCTCAGTAATCGAGTTGCAGGGTGATCCACTGAAGCTTTTCAGCTTTAAACGTACAAATGCAACTGTTGGCTGTTAAATTTATTCTCCTAAATCTGTCATTAATTCATCAAAAATACCATTTGTTTCACGCAGGGCTCAAACCAATCAGGAGTAAGGACGAACTGGTCAGTAATTTTGTTGTCGTACGACTCTTGCAGAGACTAAAATATTGCGTACCTTTTCCATACAAGTGTTTGATGAGATGTTTAGTTCAGCGTCTGGTTGCACAGTTCCCCCTTCCCCTCAGAGTCTGTTGCTGAATACTTAACGTGCCACAAAAGAACAACCACATTTCTCGTTATTTACAAAATTCCACGGAATTTCTTTTACTTTTAATGCTCTTGTGACAAAGTAAGGAGAGAGCTGTTTCCTAGCAGGACGGTGCCTCAGGTGGTACAACCTGACTACAGTGCTTTTGCTCCAAAGGCTTCATCTTAATTGCTTTGACTTACGGGCTGCTGCAGACCCTGACAAAGTCAGCCCAGTATTGCCCCTTAAAATTGTGCCTCAGGCTAATTTTCAAATGCAGTTACGCATCTCGAGTCTCTCCCTTTGCCATCTCCTGTCCAGACCTGCAGATTGGTACAAATTTTGGAAATGGAACATTAAAGATATTTTTACCTAGCATTATAAATGTTTTGCCTCCATTTATAGGTATGTCCCAAACTGTTGACTGTCTCCCAAGTCTGCACATTGGGTCATGCTGTAATTTTAAAAGAACATTTGCAAGGCTGTTACTACAAGAATTCTTTATTTTACTACGTAAACAGACTATTTTCCTTTTATTTCCTTGCTTAAAGAAGTTAAAGGCAACACCTGGGCAAAGCAACTTAGGAACACCATGGGAAAAGAACGATGACTCAAGAAATTTCTGCGTTGAAAAATGCAGAATCACGAAACTGACCTCGGCGCGACGTGCGAGCGCGTGCCAGGGGAAGGTTAGCTATGCAACTGTTGGAATTCCATTTAGCTCCCTAGAATGCCCACTGAAGCGCTGATCCTCTGCCCCTGGCAAATCTCTCCCTGACCGGGCTTTGGCACCCCAGGCACCGAGGCCGTTGTTTCCCCTCCCCAGGCTCAGGTTCCTGCGACTTCCATTCCTGCCGTCAGCATCTCGTCAGCTTGCAGGAATGGCAGGAAGGGCTGGGGGGAAGGCAGAAGTAACTTGCCAATGTATGTTTTAAGAGTTTTGTCTCTGTTAACAAAATGTTGTTGATTGTTGCAAATATTTAAGTAAGTAGTGCGCTTAACGGTCTGACTGTACCCGGCCTTTGCGCTTCCGTAACGCTCCTTGTTCCCCAAGGGATTAAATACACACCCAGGGGTGCGATTGCAGAATCGGAGCCTAATGTTGCAAAGCCCGTTAGCTTTGGGAACACGATATATTAAGACACCCTTTTTACCGTGGCCAAAACAGTACATACAGGGTATGTGTGCGTGTTTCAGCAGCGGCCACCGGTTTAGTTGATGTTCTAGCCACCCCTCAGTTACCTACGCCTTTTTTTTTATAATACTGGTTGTGTAGGCAGGCAGCCATGTTCATTATGCCTTGTATGTCTGATGCCATATTTTAAATTAACCTGTTAAATACAGCTTAAAATATTTTTATTTTATTTATTCTACTTTTACTGAAATACCCTGCGTTGTTATGTTGATGTATTGTCTTTACTGGACGTGCGCTTGTAACATTCTCCACTCTGTACACTGTAGGTTGCCTAAAACAAGGCAGGCTTTGTAATTATTCATAGTCGCATTTTTATCTAAGTCTGTAGAAAAATCATGTAAAGCAAAGCTAATTTCTTAATTTTTTTTTTCAACGCCAGTAGTAAGTTAGAGGTAAGTATCACATGCCAGTCATGTCATTCATATGCTCCCTTGCAGAAGCAAGGAGATCTATATTCCCAGTCAACGACTAGAGATAAAAAGCCTTTCTTTTGAGCGCGGCAGCGCTGGCTGTAGGTTTTACGTAAGCCGCTTCCTGTTCCAGTTGAAGGGGGGAGCAAGGGGGTGGGGGAGATGTAAGGCCACAGGGGGGTTAGACAGGAATAACAAAAACTGCCTGGAAGGGCACAGAACCCGTTTGCAGTGAAATGAGTTCCTAGTCCTGTGCTTCGTGTGCAGTCACCTGGCCCTCCTGGAACGATGCGCCCTTCCCTGAGAGAGGAGGGAAAGCTGTGGAGTCTCTCGTTTATGCCAGTTCTGCGTCACTAAGAGTTTTACGTCCCTTTTGATTTTTATCAAGCGTTTCATAGATGATTTAACTGGGGATCTAAAAGTGTAAGTCACCCCCCCATGGAAAAGAGAACTTAATTTCAACAGCTAATATGGGCCCAGCCTTCCAGCGTTACTGTTAACCCCGTTACTCCTTTCTTGGGCAGGTTAATTAACACATTGTGCTGTACAGTCAGCAAAAGCAGGTTTGATTTGTTTTAACAGCAGTAGGAAAGAAGGAAGCACACCCACCGTTTATGAGCAGAGCTCAGTCTTAGGTAAAGCACCTGACTGACACCGAAAAGGACAATTTTCCCTGCTGTTGGCCCACTTCTCCACATTTAAATGTAATCTGTTCTGAGAATAAATTTAGCTGCGTAAAATGATTGTCTCAACTGTTACTGGTCCATGAAACTGGGAAATGATTTCTTCTGTTTCAGATTGTGGTTGAGGGGAGGGAAAAACATGCCGGTGGGTTAGAGGCAAAAGCAGCGCAATGGACACCTTTGCGTCTGGATAGCTGCGTTGGCAGCATCTAGCTGACAAGTCCAAATACAGACATGGATTAAAGAGAAGGAGTTACATAAGGTACAGCTTTACTGTAAAAAGTCGTTGAGTGTTTCACTGAGCGCACAGGCCCATCTGACCTCAGCCCTGGGTGTTGCCAGCACGCGGTGGTGGGTGCACACAAAGCAAGCTGGCGACCTGCAGAATCAAAATCTTCCCTACCGGCTCTTTGAGAGTCGTGGTAGGACCCTGGGATTCTGACCGGGGTAGCCTCCCCACCATTTCAAAGACTCAGACTCCTGAAAGCAAGATGAGGCCAATGTGGGACATCACAATGTGTATCACGTAAGTAAGTAGCCCAGAAATTCTGTCATCAGACGTGTATGTTCATTTAGAAGTAATTTTAATTACGTTTAATAAATGAACAATACAGATTTCGATTTAAAAAAATAGCTTAGTTCTCCAACTGCAGGATCTGTAAGCTTATTCAAACATTTAACAACCCTATTGATAAAACCCTCATCTCCTTGCTGTCCATTCCTTTTCTCTAACATGTAGAAATCTCTCCAAGATGGTTTTGAAATAAAATCGGGATTACTTTTTTTTCCTCCGTTCTACGCATTGCATGCAGACAGGTCTAGTTCTATCCTTACAAGTTTGTTGAGAAACAAGAGCAGAGTTCATCCTTCTGCGGGAACAGCTAAGGAGCATGGGTTACTCACGGGGATATACAGCAGGTAAGTGATGCCTCTGAAGAGGACAGCTGGCTCCCATTAAAATGCTGAAAGAAGTTTTCACCCATTCAGTGAAGCAAGGGTACTTAGCTGGTGACCAAGAGCCCGCTGTCCACGCTGCCGGTGCAGCATCATTCACATCTTTCCTTCTGAAGGTAGCGCTGATCCAGCTACATTGACTGCTGTGGGTGAGGAAAAAAAAAATAGAGGTGCTAAAACATTTTCTCTGGATGAGTCTAAATCCAGACTCAGGTACATGTCAAACAGGTTAAGATTCCGCACCACGGTGTCGGTGTCGACGCTGCTGGCAAGACTTGCCAAATACCTTAAATGTTTGCCTAGGGGAAAACTTCTGTTCAGGGCCACAGCTACCTTTGCCCTTCTGTATTGCTCTGCTGTCTTGTTTCATTTCTACAACAGCGTAACCTAAATGAATACAACGCTTGAGGTTCCTCTTAGTCGTGCCGTCACTGTTTGCCATTTTCCTTCTTTATACTGCCCACATTTAATACTAAATCAGAGCCTTGTTAAAAGTATCTCTGGGTGTCCCTTTTATCCTCTGCTCAGATGGTAAGACAATCGTAGGTGTTTGTTCTACCGTTATTTTGTTCTACATGTGCTAGCAAGAAGGAGCAGGTCAGAAGCCCACAGCTGTTTTCAGAGAGACAAACCACTGTGCAGTCAGCCATCCTTCAGCTGACCAGCAGCAACATTGATAAAAATAACTCGCTTTGGCAGTAGCAGCTCTTTTCAACTAAGACCTGCTTGGGTTAAGCAAGTTAGTG